TTGTAAACCCACATTTGAATTCATTTATGTTTTTGAATGAGTCGCCATTAAAATTATGAGAGGTTCGAGCTATACTGTTGTGGTATCGTTGCAAATATAAAAGTTTACACTTCCGTCTGCGCGCAGTAATTGGGCGCGGCCAATATGCTAATGTTTAGTGTCTACGTCACTACGAAACAGCTAATGACTCGTTTCAAAAACAATTCATTTCATAGACTCAGAGTCGACTCTCACTTTTGAAAAACAATAACTTTATATACAGTGCACTTTCAGGTATAAATCTTTGCAGGATGTTTTCATTCCCTTAGAGCTATAGTTCACACTACATGAACAGTCATTTTCAAAAATCCATGATAGGGGCTCTTTAAAAGGGCTTGCAAGACTCTGTTAGGTGGAAGTACCTCTTTATGGTTATGAAACGATTTGGGTTTCACCAATCTATTATTAATGTTATTCAAGCATTATATGATAAAAGAGAATCAAGGTGAATGGTGATCTTTCTAATCAGATTACTCTAGAACGAAGAACACGTCAGGGCTGTCCAATTAGCCCTATTTTATTTGTCTTATTCATAGAGCCCCTTAACCAGTGGATTAGGCAAAATGACAAATTACAGGTAGAAATGGGGACCGGAATGCACAAGGTATAGCTGCCATTTTAGTTTACTTAAAACAGCCAGTCTTTTCCAGAATTGATGTCACTTCTTGCGACATATGGTTCATTTTCAGGCTATGGTGAACATACAGAAAACCCAGGTTCTCACTTTTAATTATAAGCCACCTTGTTTCATTACCAGGAGTTTTTGTCTCAACTGGGATTCAGTTTCAATGACATATTTGGGAGCAATTTTATCAAAAGATCAACGCATTCTCACCCCAAGGCGTCACCTAACTGACAATTTGGACCATGCTTCAATATTCGACGCTTTAGGCACCCGCGATCCTAGGGCGTCATCTAACTGACGCTAAAGGGTGCCTTAAGCGTCAGATATTGAAGCATGGTCAAAATGCTTCCCAAGGCGTCAGTTAAGTGACGCCTTGGGATGAGAATGGGCTGAAAAGATACATCACGATGATTTCAAGCTACTTTTGCACCTCTAATTTCAAAAATTAAAATCAGTCGAATCAGTCAAGATGAACATTCTACCAAGACTTTCATATTTATTTCAGTCTCTGCCAGTGAATATACCAATACAGCAGTTCATAGAATGGGATAAATTGTTTTCAAGATTTATCTGGAAAGGGAAGAAACCCAGAATTAGATTTAAAACACTACAGCTATTGAAGGGAAAGGGGGGACCTTGCTTGAGTGATTATTATTATGCTGCCCAGATTAAACCTTTGGTGTATTTATGTAATCCAGCATATTAATCTAGATGGAAGGAAATAGAAAGTGCCATATCTCAAGATGTTCCAGTTCAGGCAGCTATGGGCCGATATTGGGCTGATAAATTATTAACTATATAATCCTTGGTTAAATGTATACTTAAACATTTGGAAGAAGATAGTGAAATTGTGTAATGTGAAAGATTCTATGGTATTGCTGCGGAGTTCGTTCCTAGTAAAACAGATAACAGGTTCAAAAGGTGGACGACTAAAGGCTTAACTGCCTATAGGACATTTATGAACAAGGGGAAATTACAGAGCTTTCATATGCTTAAAGGAACTTACGGGCTGGAGAACCAAGGCTTTTATAGATATCTACAACTGTGCCACTATTTAGAACATGCTAAAGGAGATGTCTTAAGGTAAGGAGAAAATGGGTTATTAAAGGCGGGCTTCAACAAGCTAAGCAGGTAGACACATTATACATAAAGAGCAGAGCGAGAAGGTAATCTTTCAGTAGAGGAGTGGGAAAGCATATGCAAGTCACAATGGAAAACTACACATTCTTTGTTCTGGAAAGAGTTTGCGTGGAAGGGTGTTTCAGGTTTTTCTCTACACTTGCCCAGATCAAGCAACAATCATCCAATTGTTGGAAAAGTTGTGGGGTTGACAAGGCAAATCACCTTCACATTTTCTGGAATTGTCCTTCGATTAATCAATATTGGTATGAGATACATAATTGTTTTGAAATAATTCTTAAGATTCAAATTCCTCTCAATTTTGAGGTGATGTATTTGGGTTTGATCAGCAGTGCTTTTCCAAACAAATACCTGTTCAGAATCCTAACAATCGCAAGCAAGAAAACAATTTAAAAAAAGTGGCTGCAACCAACTTTGCCCTCTCTCGAAGACTGGAAGAACATAGTAAATGATATCTTTACAATGGAGAAGCTAACCTATGCTCTAAGACTAAAGTCCCAGTTGTTTTCAGTCCTATAGAGAGATTGGATTGATTATATAACCCATATACAACCAGATTTAGGTTAACTGAATAAAATAAAGACAGTTGCGATTTAGTGACCTTGGGCAGTAACATTCTACAAGAATTGGGTCAATGTGTTGCAGTAGTGGTTCTTTCTTTTTTTTCTTTTTTTTTTACTCATATCCACAAGTTTCCTACGCCCCATGAGGCCTTGCGTCAAAAGTGGGCGCGACTTCCGGTTGGAAGTAAACAAAGCGCGACTTGACATGCTTAACACTTGTTCATTCAACAGTTGACAGTCATTCAAGTTATAGCGATCCAAACTAGCTAACGATGTGGGAACTCAACCTCAACGAAATTCAAAAGGGTGAAATAACACTACCTTTACCCTCCGCAGTCGTTGATTGGGAGTATTATAATAACATTATTAATTATCAATACTCATCAAGGCATGGTGACAGACAGATGTGCGAGCTGACAAACAATTCAAATAAAAAAAAATACACACCTAGTCATTGTGCTTTGGAGTTTATTCAAAATTATAAATGAATGTGCTGCTTGAATATATTAACCTACTACTGGCACATTTGGTATTCTGTCAACACAGGCTTTGATCCTGAGTTTAGGTGTAACATCAGTAGCGAATAGCCAATCACATGCTGATAGAGTTTATAAAATATAAAGAATTAAAAAAAATGTACACAGGAAGATTCGTTGTCTTTTGGGAGGTGATGGAAACTAACGTTACAGTCGTTGGCAGGATCAGAGACGGGCTCTGGCAGGATCACTCGTTTTCAGCTTATGTTCAAAACAATCACGTTTAAGCCACTGAACTAGTTTAGTCCGGTTATACATCAAGCTTAAAACCCATGGGGCATGTTGTCACACTTCACTTTCATTATTTCAGGATAAATCAAGAAAAACGTAGGCTATACAATGTATTAATAAAACAAAATCACATAGACATGTGGGAAATTAATGTGAGAAAAAAAAATACTCTACACCCCAAGTAGGCCTAAGTCAAAAAGGTCTCCCCTGGCCTAGTTTTCACAGTAAAAAATTTGCAGAAACACGATGGAGTCCGCCTTTGTAATTGTTATGCTTGAAGTTAACGCAAGCGTTTCTATTTTTTATTTATTTTTTAATGAAAACATCATAAGCAAAGAATAAAACTGTCACGATATAGAACAAATAAATGGAAAGAAAAAATACACAAGACAGGGGTACAACTTATTAGAAAAGATTACATATCAAACGAAAAGATACATATTTCAATTGTTTTTCAATTTCATTTTTGGTGGAAAATGGGTAAAAGAGTTGGTGCCGCTTTGGAACCAGACCAGTTTTCCTGGCCGAGAACCGGTTCTTTGGCTGTCGAAACGCAAAGAACTGGTTCGCGCGCAGACACCGGCTCCGAACCGGCTCTCAAAATGCTTGGTGGAAAAGGGGCTGTAGAGAATAATGTTCGAGTGTAAAGATGTGGCGCTGTGTATCTCTTCCGGTGTGCGACACCCCAGTAAAACTAGTAAGGCAGCCAGCGTATCTTTGTAAGAATTAAAGTGATTAATATCCTTTAACATCGTCACATAATGTAAAAATATAAAATATAATGAATGGTGATGATATGTAAAGTGTATATTTTCTGTATTTATATTGCATTAGAATACCCTTTGGAATTAATAAATGTATAATGTATATACAGTATATGTTAAACTGATGCTTATGTACCCTCATCCTTTTATCTTATTTTAATTATTTTTCTTGTTGAGGCATGCGAATTATTTGTTTGTTGTATGAGAAATGACACTGTGCATGGTAGGCTACTTGATGTTTACAATTAAGCATTTAAAAAAATCTTTGTAAGCCTTGAACACAACCATACAAGCAGCCAATGATTGAATTAAGTTAATGAATATATATTTAAACAATATATAGGCTACTTCTAAACAATACACAACAAAGCATTTTTCTACTAACCTCTAGGTAATATTTGTAGGCTTCATTGAGATTAAATTGAAATAAATTTCCCAGAAGTGGATTCGGACGGGGGCCTGGAGGCAGACGCCTAAGACTGCTCTGCTTTCCTCGAATCTTCCACAGCAACATCATAACCAAGAGAGTCATGACAGCAGGCAGTGCATTTGTCTTCAATGCCAACAATATATCCATCTTTCAAATTTTACTTGACTGTTCTTTTGAGCCGACTCAAAGAAAATAACAAAAACTGGCGTTTGTTTCTAGGTTAGCGTGCATGGTGACACAATACGGCGCACAATGTAGGGCCGTTTCTCACTATGCGTTTTTATAGGCCTAGCCTACTTCCCAGAGTGTTCTTGATCCACCCCTTTACCGAGGATGCATCGAGAGGTGCGGACTTGAGTTGAGACAGCCCCAACAGTATGTGCCATAGACATAAATACATAGATGCCCAATTGACCTTATGCACAGCTGCACTACTTCCTAAACTTAAGCCAGCTCATTGTTTCCTGTCTGTTATTATTGGACAAATTGATTAATCCAGGTGTGCCTGACCTCAGTAGTCACGGCAACAATAATCAGACACACCTGAATTAATCAAGTTCGGCCAATAATGGCAGACAGGAAACAAGGAGCTGGCTTAAGTTCAGAAAGTAGTGCATCTGTGCTTTGGAACATTAATGCGATTCTTTTTTTTTTTTTTTTTTTTTTTTTTGCGGAGGGCAAGACTGCATTGTATCAAATGTAAGTAAACAGGTGAGCTGCATTTTTTCTGGGAAAACGTTTTTTACATTTATTAACCGATTTCAGTGGCTTACAAAAAGTTCCATCTCTAGTTATTTAAAACATCGATAGTTAGACTTGTAAATAATATATATATATTTTAAAATAAAGAATGGCCAAGCTTGTCATGTAGGCTATCTAGCTTTTTATTCTTGGATAAGAATGGTGAAGACCCCATACTGAGATATTTAAGTTTGCTTATTGTGGACAAAGCATTTTCTGTGATTGACCAGATTTTAGCAATAACATAGATAACTGATGGATCCTTTATGATATACAAATGTTATGGAACAACTGGGCATACAGTGCAATGCAAATAGTAATTATAACATAAAGTGTGAAGTAACAGTAAATAGATTAGTCAATAAAATAAACAAATAAAATAGTAAAGAATAACAGTATAATTATATAAAAATATTGATAATAGTATAGTTTATTCATAATACTATAATAATAATAGCAATAGAATAAGACATTTCAATTACAGAATATACACAATTGTTACGTTCCAGCCCCCAAAAAAGGAGGGGAACCTGATAATCCTCTGCTCAGACCAACAAATACCTGCAAAAGAGGAATGGAGTCGTGGTGCGAGCAAAGGAGACAAATTCCACCGTACAAACGGTTTTTATTTTTGTCACGGTTATAATGTAAATGTAAAACAACTTTAAGGGAGAAAGGGGAGAGCTGGATGAACCAAAGAAAAGAAAAACAAAATACCCCCACCACTAATCTAGGCTAATTGTACCCATCACCTATCTGGCACACGATCAAGGCGCCCTAACCAAAATTACAGATGGTGGTCCGCCCAGGTCTAACTGGTGTTTCTAGAAAGAGAAGTAGGCCTACGGGTGATGTATACCCCGGGGTAGCTCTAAATCTACTCCCCAGACTCCCTGTAAAGAATAAAGAACAAGAAAAATAAGTTAACACCAACAGTAAGAATAAGAATAATAAGAATAAGAATTCACAAACAAATACTATTTCCTGCTGTTCAAGTTCCAAAAGTGGAACACAAAGCTAGAGTTACTAGCTAACAAATCAGATTACAACATTATTAAAAGCATTGTCAAATGTTCCAATCCTAATCTCAAATAGACAACAATAAAGTAATCTACAAGTCACAAATTTCCCCACCAAGGGATACCAACCACACCAACAGCAGGAACAGTGTGCAAAGCCAGAGCAGAGAGCGAACAGATCCAAAACTAGGCTTTTTAAAGAGCCCAGCCAGCTGCAGCCACTAACGAGTAGGAGGAGTTCCAAGATCCAATCAGCCGTTGAACCACCAATCAGCTGCTGGAATGGTTACAGAAGCCATCTTACCTGTAAGAAGAAAAACACAAGAACCACAAGCAATGCCAGAAAAGAAATCTACGGTGGCCGAGAGAGCTCACCGCACTGCAACCTGATGAAGACGCATGCAAATACAAAAAAAACATGTGCAAATATAAAAACGCATGCAAATACAAAAAAAACATCCGGAAATTAAGAAAAACATCTTCATCAGTTCCACAACACACGTGTGCTCCAAGTACTCACAACACAACCAAATACACAAAACACGCTGCAAACATTCACAACAGCACCAAATACAGAAACGCGCTGCAAGTAACACGGTCCACAACGGAAATATTTCCGGGGAACCAAATAAGTGACGGACCCAACTGGGACGTGGTCATAGCATACACAGGACGTGCTTACAGCAAAAACCTTTATTGACAAGAAGTCAAAGCCTATATATTTTTTTATAAATAAACTATACTATTAAAATAATATTGTATATATAAATAATATTATAATATTATATTTTTTTTATAGTTCGTCTATACTCCTTGCTTACTCAAAATTCTACTTTATTTTATTTAATTTCTTTTGACTTTTCCACTGCAAAACACAGAGATTCAAATTATTATGACATACAACTTGTGTACAATATACAACATGTGTTAACAATATGTTCAATGTCATCACAATACAAATGAGAAAAGAACAATGATCTGAAAACTAAACTAAATAGATAAAAAAGATCTAAAAGAACATGAAGGCAAGATATTAATCTATACATCAGTTACACTATACAAATAGTTTCATTTTATGTTTAATTTTTCATAAGAAAAGTTTCCTAAAAATGTTAGGTAATGTATGGCACTGATATACAGATATATAAAACGGATACTTTAACAGATTTTTATTAAGTAAAAATAAAAAAATAAATAATTTATTTGCAACCATTTTGTTAATTATTATATTTCTGTCATCAGAACAGCTATACAGCTGATGGACAAAGTGCTGTGTTGTAGGAACATCCTAGGTAAAAATACTTACATTATGTTGTCTGTTGTTGCTCCCTTCATCAAGTTCCAAATGGCTACATAAATGACCAAATTCCCACTTGAAGAGCTTTGCCGTCTGCCCTTTGAAGGGAGTAGGGCATAGGGAAGCTCACGAGATAAGCAAGTCCCAGTCGGGTCCGTCACTTATTTGGTTCCCCGGAAACATTTCCGTTGTGCTCTGTGTTACTTGCAGCGTTTCTGTATTTGGTTGTGTTGTGAGGTTTTGCAGCACGTTTTGTGTATTTGGTTGTGTTGTGAGTACTTGGAGCACACGTGTGTTGTGGAACTGATGAAGATGTTTTTCTTAATTTGCGGATGTTTTTTCATATTTGCATGCGTTTTTATATTTGCACACGTTTTTTTGTATTTGCATGCGGCTTCTTTAGGTTGCAACACGTTGAACTCTCTCGGCCACCGTAGAAATCACTATAATACGTACCCAGTTCTCTGGGGACGTAACAACAATGTAAAATGAATAGTGACATATATTTAATATTTAGCTCTTTTTGTTAAATTTCAGTATTTATTGATCAGTAATAGGCCATTATAACAGAAGTAGCCTTAGTCAAATATACAGCAGGATACAACGTTAATAGCCTAAATATAAAGTTAAGAAACTTCCCTTTGCCCTCAGCCAAAACGATTAACCAGGGAACCATTTATAGATTAATGAGACCAAAGATCGGCCATTAGAAAAACACAAGACGAATTACATCTCGTGTTTAACCTCTAGACTAGAGACATCCGAGCCAGCGGCAACCGTCAGAAGTACTGGCCGAGGTACAGCTGTTCCAGGCAGGGTAGACAAGCGCTGAGCGCAGCTTACAACTCCGAAAACTTCAGATCAAATTTTTAAATAGGCGCTATCTTTATAAACAAACCACATATTTGAGCTTTAAACAACTACATTGGCGACTGAAAAACTATTAAAACTACATTTCGTGACACAATAACAGTATTATTTCTAAGTTTAACCTCTGAACGTTACTAGTACTAATTAAATCATGACCAAATACAACCAAAAACAAACGTTCATTCTTGCTTGTGAAAGGTACTTCCTCGAAAGCTGTTTTCAGTTTTGTGGCGATTTGTATAGCCCCAAGCAGCGCACGAAACAGGCATTTTTCTCAATTCTCGGTATGAGAGGTATGGGAAAGTTGCTCTCCCCAATATGGCGGCGCCGTTGACGTATACGCTCCAGCGGCCAATAGGGCGTCTATGTATTTATTATGTCTATGGTTCTGAAACTGCAGCCTCCGGTTGTGCAGGAATACCCTTCTCGACAACCCTGTATCCTTGATTGCATCTCGCACCAACCAGCAAACATAAATAGATTAGAAAACCCACGTAATTTAAAAATGCTAGGCTTTGCCAGTTGGCCTACTTTTATTGTGTCACGAAATGTAGGCTAGTTGCCAGAGTTTTTCAGGCGAGAATTGTTTAGCCTACAGCTCAAATCTTTGGTTTAGGCGTGTTTATAAAGATATTTGAAATTTTTGATGTGAGACCCACTGGGCGCTCAGGCTCCCCGTCGAGAATGTAGACAGTATAAGAAGGTCGAGAACAGCCTTTCCTCGGCTAGTCCTTCTTGGACGTCTCTAGTCTAGTGGTTAACATGAGATACAAATCGACTTGTGTAGGCTATATCTAACGGGCGTTTTTTTGTTTTTTTTTTTGTCTCATTAAAGTCCCCCTCCGATCATATTTTTTAGCTATTTTTAAACATTCCCAGTGGTCTTTAAATTATGATTATGCCATTTTTAGCCAAAATCACAAAACCTGTGCAGTTTTCTGAGACTTCACTTCAGCAGAGCGGCAGTAGCTCATTAGCATAGCATAATTCGCCTCTGGGTTGTGGGCGGAGCCGTTGGCACGGAGACGACCCTCCACCTTCTCGTTGCTGAGAGCTCTGTCTCTACCGCTAGCAGTTACAAATTATTAGCAACTTAAATGTTGTATGAATTTATTAGTTGTTGGGTCTTCAATTCAGGCTATTGGTGTCTGATTCTGTTAGTTCACCTCACCTCCTGATCCAAAACATTCTTTCCTTTGCACCTTCATTTTTATCAGGTTTGTTCTCCTCCTCTCGTGTCTTGATACGTTAGCTGTCAAATCATCAGTGTCTGACTCTGGTCTGTCTGCTGGGCCGTGCCGTGTTTTTACAAGCTTTGTAAGGTGCATCTGCTCCACCGTTACTAGGTGAGTGTCACTATTCTGGGATTTCTGAGCCCCTAGAGAAGTTAAAGAGGGCTGAAAGTAGCTCCCTGTATCCCTGTAAGAAGGTGAACAGTGAATTGCTGTTTTAATGTCAGATCAACGTTTCGATGTCATATTTCCACGTTGATTCAATGTCAGTTTGCTATCTGGGATTGTTTTCCTTAGGATTATTTTTTTTCTTCTTCTTCTTCTTCTTACTTATTATTATTATTGTGACCAATTTTAAAATCACCAAAAAATAGCTACTATTTTTTGGTGATTTTAAAATTGGTCACAATAATTATGAAATTTTAGTGGCAATTACATTTTGATATGATAAAAAAAATCGTGTTAAAAGTAACATAACTTAACTGTGAAGTATATCATAGATGGATACAACGACTCGTATAATAATATAACATTTAGCTCATGTAGTTGGTGACCTAAAGTGGTGGGGGGGCCCTGCAGTAACTCATAGCCCCGGGGCCCAGTGAGCTCTTAATACGGCCCTGACTACGCACACTAAGCGCAGTTCTCATCTCAACTCAGATTTCTATAAAGCACAAAGTGACCGTTTTACACATGTCCCGGGAAAACAGGACTGTTGGTCACCCTATACTATACTATTATTACAGAAATACTAATATAAATATTATCATATACTAGCTCTTTATGCTCCGAGACCAGCAGCTCAATCTTGCCCATAGGTATCTTGCCTTGTAGGCTATCTCTTCTTTGCCGTATGTGTGCTCGGCAAGACCGTTTTGTGTTTGAGCGCCCCCAAGTTGTGTTTTACTGTAACTTCAGAAGTACCAGACACGTGAGCAAACCCGCCAATCTCATTGGTCGGATAGTTTTTGACGCAGCGCATCAAACCAAAAAAATGAACCGGGACGTTTTTTTTTTTTAAAATGACGCTTTTACGCGTGCCGTTTTTCACGTCACGAGGCGTTAAACGTCGACGAATATCGCGCGCGAAATTCGTCCATGTGTGAACAGGCCTTAAGGGCCCCAAAAGTGGCCAAAAGGTAGCAAAATAATACGTAAGAAGAAGAAGAAGAAGAAAAATAATCCTAAGGAAAACAATCCCAGATAGCAAACTGACATTGAATCAACGTGGAAATATGACATCGAAACAACGTTGATCTGACATTGTTTTGCTCATCGAATTAACGTTGAACCAACGTCAGACGCGTCATTCTTTCAAAACTAACGGAAAACCAACTTGAAATCAACGCGTTGTTTCAACGTTATGAAAGCAAACCAATTTTCGATTTTCATTAGCTTTGAAGAATTCCGCGTCTGACGTTGGTTCAACGTTAATTCGATGAGCAAAATCAACGTTGTTTCAATGTCATGAGAGACGTCGTTTCCACGTTGATTTCCACGTCGCCCTTTCAGGGCTTGGGCCCTAATAAATAATCCTAAGGAAAACAATAGGGCCTTTGCCCTTTCAGGGCTTGGGCCCTAATAATAAATAATTCTAAGGAAAACAATAGGGCCTTCGCCCTTTCAGGGCTTGGGCCCTAATTAGTGAATTGTTCTTTGATAATGATTTTGTTTGTAGTGCAAGTTCGAATACAAATATCACTGAAGTAAACAGCAATTCACTGTTCACCTTCTTACAGGGACCTTCTTAACTTCTCTAGGGCAGTGTTTCCCAACCCTGTTCCTGGCGGCACACCAACACTGCGTGTTTTCTTTGTCTCCCTATCAAACACACCCGATTCAACCCATCAGCTCATTAACCCACCTGATTATGAGCTGATGGGTTGAGTCAGGTGTGCTTGATTAGGGAGACAAAGAAAACACGCAGTGTTGGTGTGCCGCCAGGAACAGGGTTGGGAAACACTGCTCTAGGGGCTCAGAAATCCCAGAATAGTGACACTCACCTAGTAACGGTGGAGCAGATGCACCTTACAAAGCTTGTAAAAAACTACATTGTTATTTGTTTATTTTGATGTGTAGCTATATATGTAAAATAAACCTCTCACACTGACTTTTCTAAAAGGACTAATAGGCTTCAAGGGGGAGAGGGAAGAAGATCTTGTTCCCTCTGTTTTAATGTAACCTACTCTCCATGTATGTATATCTTGGAAAGCAGCCCAAATATAGGCAAAGATAGGAGTAAGTTGCAATAGATAGAACTTGTTTTTCTCTTTGTCTCAGATTCTAAATGATATAGCCTAATATATCCTTGGATGGTAGCCACACCACCCCTGAAACATGTATAAATGCTAATGTACAAAAGAAAATCTGAAGAGGGGTTTTGTGAACATTGACTGGCTCCATGTTCATAACTCTTCCCATATGACAGTATCAATGCGTGAAAAAGGAGACTGAGAATAAAGTGCAAGGCCGTCTAAATCGATCAAATGGCGGTACTCGATTAGAGGTGGAGGTTATTATCAGGTTAAAGAGGTTGAAAAACACCATATTCCTGTTTTAAAGGAAACACACTTTTTTATTCCGGAGAGTCCTCACTGACTTGTCGAAGTTTGCAGAGGATTGTCGATGACTTGGCAGAAGGTCAGAACCATAACAGGAGACAAGAAAGAGCGATCAAATGCAGTGCGTCACTAGCAAGACTTCGTAACATGTGAGTGAACACACAGGGCTTAAATAGGCAGAGTTTATCCAGATAATAAAACACATGGAAGAGGCAAGGAATAATTGACGACAGGCCGTTGAATTATTAGAAAAATAATGCACACCCGAGGTGGTAATGCGGCCGGTCACGACGCGAAGCGGAGTGGCCGTTACACCTCGGGTGTGCATTATTTTTAGGATTATTCAACGGCCTGAATTCAATTATTCCGCTTATACTACAGTTACCACACCTCAAAACATTGTTCAGATGATTCATATCAAGACGTTTGTCAAGTTTTTGACAGTAAAGCGCTCTTGTATGTAGGACTAATTTCTTACACATCTAATCCCATGCCTCCATTGCTAATTCCAAAGCGTCATTTTAGAGTTAGTAACGGAGGTTTGAGCTACTTATAGCAGACTAATAATGATGGGGGACACACTTACAATTCGCTGAAATATTCGAAGACAGACTGTTTCCAATTTCCATCGACTGTAGCAGGTCTTACTAAACACCAACTGTGTCTGTGAACACAGACGAACGCGCGTTTGGGCATGATCAGTCAGAAGTATCAAATTACATTCATAACTGCCTTACAAAGGCAAAGTGCAGTAACTACGCAAACAAAGAAACGGAGAAAAAGGCCTTTAAAGTTTTTATACCATGCAGTCAAACATGTTATGGGTACTAGATTATGTGGCAATGCATCTCCGAAACGGGACATAATTTAACCCAGATATTTTTTTCACAAGACAGAACACGTCATAAAGCCCATTACAAGTCTTAACTCATTTTTGACCAAATGTGTAGTGCATGCGCTTGCCTTTGGCCTAAACTAGTCTGTCCCAGAGTTATGCAGGAATAGAGAGAGAGAGACTAGAGACGTGAGAGACGTGACGATGTGCGTCAATATTATTTATTTATTTATTTATTTATTTATTTATTTATTAACTTCATTTTTCGTTCGTTATTGTTTTCTATAATTGACAGTAGATAACCCAATAAATGAAAAACAACACCCTTTTAACAAGTAAGCCTATCAATAATTATTTATTTTTTATATTATCTGGAATAATTACGAAAATCTAAAAAGTTTAATTTTCTATTTAGCCTATTATAGATAGGACTATACTTTATTTATTAAAATTAAACTGTATGTCAATTGATTGTGAAGTTAGACATCGAAAATTGCCGATCAAGCGGGGCATGTCTTCTCTTGTTATGAATTGTATCCTATTTTCCGTTACTACAGATAACTACGCGCAGTGATATTGAACTGTAATGCGGTCCAAACTTGCCTGAAACTACTTTAGCCGTGCGTTTCCCTGAAAATAATTGCACACCTTTAGAACGTTCTCAACCAATCAGAATCAAGCATTCAACAGCCCTGTAGTAAACAAACAATAATGAATCCTGGCAATGAGTAATGGACGTTCATGACCAGCCAAGCACAAACATAACAGAATTATATTATTTTGAATACTGACCTTTAGGTAAAACTTGAATGGTTCCTTGACATCAAACTGAAGTAAATTTCCCAGCAGTGGATACGGAGTGGGTCCCGGAGGGAGCTTCCCAAACTGCTTTCTTTGACTCTTCCACAGCAATAACGGAAGGATCACAGCTATGACAACATATACTGTAATACATTTGTCAATGTCAGTGTTATATCCATCTTGCAACTGATGCGACTGAAGACAAAGTGTCTGCTCTGTGACAAATGACAGACTGTCCTTCTGACTGTTAATCTTCACACAACACTCATTTTAAAGTCTGTTTTGTTGTTTATATGTTTTGCAGGAACACTCTGTGAAAATTTTGCCATGCCCACAATTTGTCACGATAATAGGCTACACACAGAAACAAGGACTGATCCAAAAGCGGTGTTTATTTAAAGGGTGATCCGTACAGTCCAGGCAAAGGTCAAAATCCATGGCTCTGGCTCAGGAACAGCAGACACTGGCCCTGGCTCAGGAACAACGGGCACAAAAGGTCACATTTGCTTTTATCCCCGGTCCAGAACACAGCCGGACCCAAAGCTTCCACGACAACAGAGAAATCGCAAGAGCTTCCCGCAGACGGAGACCTAGCTACCACCTGCCGCAACGCGTCAGCCAGAGCCCGCGGTCAAGTGGCCAAGTGTTTTGGCTAACAGCTCTCCTGTCCCCATGTTGAGTGAAATCATGAATAAGTGCAGAGGAGTTATGTGCATAGTAAACATGATGGTTATTGTAGTTCTAGACTAATGTGACCAGGTACTCATCTCACTTGCACAATAAATAAATAAATAAATAAAAATCAGTATTCAATATAAAAAAGTATCAGTACACGGTGGACACATTCATTCATTCACATTCACACAGGAATCATATCAAAATTCATTTTTACATTCTGTAAAGATTTATCCAGGGGGAGCTTCATTTTACCCCTCTTTTAATATTTGACATTTTCTGCAATAGCAACTAAAGTAGCAAATGTTCATATTTCTTTCCTATAATAACACATCATTATCATCCTGCACTTGCTTGTATATCTTTCCCCCATAGCAATATAAGATCATGGATCTTCAAATGTTCTTTGAAAATTCTGAAACATTTAAACGTTTCGACTATTTAAATGTTTAATCGACCATTTAAAACGTTTCAGGGGAAAATAACACTCCATTAAGGATGTATAAATGATGTTTTATGACCTGAGAATAATATTAAATGTTAACTTTGAAAGAACGTTACTGTTAAATTTACTGGAGCAATTCTTGTTCATCCTTCAGAACGTATAAGCAAAAGTTTCTAGAACGTTCCTTTAGCTCATTTATCAACGTGTATATTTAAAATATTTTCAAGATAGCTGACGGTTTGCTGTGTTTGTAGGCGCCAAAAACAATCTGCAATTTATTGCGCCCAGGTTTAATATTACTGGGAGGAATTCCATTTAAATGTGGACAGAGCCATGAAAGTTATTATTGTAGCTACTTATCCAGATCGTTCGTGTTTAAAATGGCAGGAATCTGTAACGGGGGGAAAAAAAGCTGGAGTCACAACTAGCAAGTTCAAACGAGCATCATCAAGATTGGTTGAGCAGCAGCAGAGAGGAGAGTGGTCCAGTCGTGAGTCACATCCGTGACGCAGGCAGAGAGAAGGACAAGGCGCAGCATCATCTCCATCCTCCATAGCACAACAACGACTGACAAAAGAGGGGGAAAGCAATCAAGGTTTTGAGGCTTGCTGTCAGGTAAGACAGATATTATTTCGTTGTTATTACTTCGAATTTTCGCCAAATATAAATGTCCGTGTTTTTCCGCCTAAGAAAAACCTGCTTGTTTTTCATGTGCTGCGTGATGGAGCGTCCATGTTTTCTTGTTGACAGAGCAAGACTGACATGCTTTATAACTAAATATAATGACATAATGCACCTGCTTGTATACATTTAGTCGCTAAATACAGTTTATAGATCATTTTAATTTATTTATCGACGATTGAATTAATAATAGGCCTATTGAGAGTTTAAAGACAGTGTCAATTCCATTTGTGCACGATCCATTTCTGAATACGCCCCTTTTTTCGTGAAATTAAATATTCAGCAGTCTGGTTGCTCAGATATGCTTTAAATAATATTTCTTATTCTTATGTCAGTAAATTAAAGAGTAGTATGCTCTTTATTCTTATTTATTTATTTGTAAAATGAACAACTGTATACAAATATCATCATTTACAGTTAATATGTCGTGCACATTATTATGAGATTGCATTTTATCACCTTTATAGTCTGTTTTCCATTATTTAGATGACAAGGCTTTGAATCTTAACCAAGCAGTCATATTCAACTGGAAATGCTGGTGTTATTTTGTATATCATTTTCAAAATTTTTGAATCTTGATGTGCCAATTATCATTGCAATACAACATCACATGCAGTCTATTTGTTTAATTGACATCTTTGTTGTGCATTAACACCATCAATGTCTCCCACAGTCTGATGCAATAGAAGGACATTGAAAGCACTACCACAAACAGCTAATGTGTGTGGGCTTGTATATTCCAACTGCAAAATAAAAACCTTTATAGAAATAGATAATGACTTAATTAATAGAGCAAGAGATGCTAAAGCTAATATTCACTTTGATCATTGCCCTAATAAAATAGTGTTCAGAGTAGATCATATACACTCACCTAAAGGCTTATTAGGAACATCATACAAATACAGGCCATTTTAGTACAGTGAGCTCATTGTCATGTTCAAGAAAACAATTTAAAATGATTCAAGCTTTGAGACATGGATACTTCCTGCACAGTGGTAACAAGGCATGATGGATCCATGTTCTCATTCTGTTTATGCCAATTCGGACTCAACCATCTGAATGTCTCAACAGAAATCGAGACTCATCAGACCAGGCAACATTTTTCCAGTCTTCAAATGTCCAATTTTGGTGAGCTCTTGCAAATTGTAGCCCCTTTTTCCTATTTGTAGTGGAGATTATTGGTAACCGGTGGGGGTCTTCTGCTGTTTTAGCCCATCCGCCTCAAGGTTGTGCATGTTGTGCACTGAAAAAAATGATTCTGAGTGCATGTAAATGTTACGTAGTTAAAATGTGTAATATTAACAATAAAATGTTACGTTTATATCTTTACATAATATATCTGGTTTTGAATTTATCTTCATTTGTTCAAAACACAAGAAAATGTGCATATTTTTACCTTACAAAATTAATCTAAGTAATCTCAGCTAATCTTTTTAGGCACACGCACTCAACAAACAATACCTTGTTTAATTTACTCAGTGCAAAAAATTACTCCCCTTCCTGTTTTTTGTCTGGAAACCCCTTGCATTTCAAACGAAGAGGAAGCCTACACGTGGAGACTGAACTCAAGGTAAGAATAAAGTTAGAAAAGTAGGCTAACAATTAAGGTTACTTGGGTTTGTACATTCTTTACAGTGTTCCAATTGTTGTACAAAAATTAGGCTTTAAATGTAATTTGGAGATTGCTTTGTCGTACGTGGATTTTCTGTTAATTACCATGTGCCAACGCTGGGATTGCTTTATGTTGCTTTACGTGTAGTCTAACATTAATTGAAACTTTGCAAGTGGCCATAGAATGGTTTGTTCTAGTGTAATTTAAAGCCAGCGTTATAATCCAGCAATAAAATAATGTAATGTTAGTGCAAGCACGTGGATTTTTAGAGCAGCCATGAATAAATTAGGGTAACATCAATCGTTTTTTTCCCCCCAACCTGGGCCTAATTTTATTCTTTAAAAAATATGTATTTGTGTTTAAGTGACTATGGGAACAACAATCTTTTAAATTGGCCAGGAGACCGCTTCAGTGTAGATGCGAAAGAATTAACGTTAGGCCTGGCAAATCGTACGTTATATGGGTAATTGCGTTCTTTTACATCCACAAAACCTGCTTGTTTTGCCACTGACATGCTATTCTAAGTGTCTGACGACATTACCTAAGATCGCGGACAGCTCCAGCGTTAAAATTAACACGTTAAATCATTTTACTTGATCTAAAAACTGACTATCATGATTATGATATTAGAAAGATTTAAGATTCCAGCTTGGATATTTGGCCACTACTTATGACAAAACTGAGTTGCAATGACTTTCTGTCTTTCTTTCTTTTTTTTTCTTTTGTCAAATCGTGCAGATAACCATTATAATATCATTATAATTTATTTGTGTTTACATAGATGGAATTGACAGCATCCGCGAATAACTCCAAACGTGGGCGCATTTTTAGAAATATTGATTTAGTTTGCGCGCTCTGTTTTTCTTCATGGTTTGTGTAAAGTGTGTTTTATACTTTATGGTTAGAGCGCTCATTGGGGTTTTTCAGCCGTCAATCATCTCGTGAACATAGTCCCGCCTTCACAATGACGCGGTTCGCTGCACGCTTCCCCATCGGAGCTCCGAGGGAAAACAAACCCAAAGTAGGCTAACAATTAAACCGAAACTGAAGAAAATTTGCTTACTGATGAGCAGGTCAACTAATTGCAGTGTTGTGGAGAGAGTAAAATGTTAAACTATTTTTAATTAGGCTATAGTTGTAGTTACAATTTTTTGCCATGTTTTTGGTTTCTTGCATTGGTCAGTTAACTATAACACTGTGTCCTTACCAGGTGATCCTCCTGACAAGTAGGCTACACTGGATAAAGGTTTGTAAATTTCTCTAAATTGGTTTATTGTAGTGAGAAAACTGGGGGTATAGTTATAATGTCAAATGGCAAAATTCCTGTTGTCCTGTTTATATAGAAAGTTTTAGTGTTCTTCAATACAGTACATGTGACACACTTACTCATGACCAGTGATGCTGGCATTTCTACAAAAAAAAAAAAAAATGACAAAAATAGTAATGCACAGTAACTTGGATAAGTAACTGAAATGAACACTTTTGTCAGTCACAAGCAATAATGCGCTACTATTTCCAAAAACGTAATCAGATTAAATTTACTTATCCAAGTTACTGTGCGTTACTATTTTTGTCCTTTTCTTTAGTAGAAATGATGGCTGGTATTCGATATGAAACCGAAATTGCGACACTCCCTGTGTCACTGTGTGAGAAGGCAGAATCACAACACACCACTTCCAACTATCAGAGTTATCCTTCCCGTCCAGATCCAATGCTACCACATTTTTAAATTACTATTAGTATTCTTTGAAGTTAACATTATAAAATACATAGACCTACACCACACTGCACATTCTTCGAGCACATGCTTGCACAAATGTACATAAGTATATAGAACAAAACTACCACAGCACGTAATCCCACCAAGATTTCTGTTTAGAGCAAAGAGCTGTATGCATTCTTCA